AAAAAAAAAAAAAAAGGAACAGAGGGCCAGCAACTCAACCGCTAAAGGCTTTTGGCATATAATACTTGATCCACTTATTGACCATGTACTCATCCACACACATAGGCAGGTGTAATTAGATGCAGTGGGTTCCAAAAAAAAAAAAAAAAAAAGGACCAGAGTGACGGCTCAGTGGCTAAGCACATTTGATACTTTTCCAGAGGACTCAAGTTTGAGTCCTAGCACCCACATGGTATTTCACAACTGTCTGTAATTCCAGCTCCATGGGATATGACACCCTCTTCTGGCCTCTGCAGGCACTGCACACATGTGCTATGCAGGCAAAACACACACACACATAAGATAAAAATAAATAATAAATACTTTGAACATGTGGAGGGGCTGGAGAGATGGCTCAGCAGTTAAAGAATGTTCACTGCTCTTGCAGAGGATACGGGTTTTATTTCCAGGACTTAGTTAGTGACTCACAGCCATCCATGACTCCAGTTCCAAGGCATCTGATGCCCTCTTTTGACCTTCCTGGGGATCAGGCACAGATATGGTGGTGCACTTGCGTACATGCAGGCAGAACACCCATAATGGAAAACAACAACAAACTACGCAGACAAACACAGGAACGGGGCTTAGACTACAGTCTGGCTACAGAGAGACCAAAGGAGTTTAGAACGAAGGAAGGTCTCGCACAGACCATGACGAGAGAGCCTGGGGCGTTTTCAACTCAGTTCCGGGAGAATAAGAAAATGCTACCGTCTGCTGCTGGTCCCCTCACTTACCTCCTTGCTGTCTGTCACAGGCACCCACTTGAATATCCTCAGGGAGGTGTCACCCACAGTCACCCATTTCTTCTCCCTGGAAGACGAGCATGAATTAGAAGAAAGCACATCTGTGGTTCCTGTTCTGCGTCTCAATACTTTGATCTGGAATGCCTTTCTTTTAAACTTTATTTTATGTGCATTGGTGTGAAGGTGTCAGAGCCCCTGGAGTTACAGACAGTTGTGAACTGCCATGTGGGTGCTGGGAATTGAACCCGGGTCTTCTGGAAAAGCAGCCAGTGCTCTTAACTGCTGAGCCATCTCTCCAGTCCCTGGAATGCCTTCTATACTTCCCTATCAAATTACACCTAAAGATAGGATTGTATAACAGGATGTAAATAAAGTGAAAGCCAGCAGTGGTGGTGCATGCTTTTAATCTTCGTGTGTGGGAGGCTACGGCAGGAGGCCTGCCACAAACTGGGGGTAGAGGGAGGCTCTAACAGGCAGTGAGTGTAGCTCAGTCTTAAAGGGCTCCTTTAGCATTCACAGATCCTGATTATGATGGGGGGGGGGGGCAATGAGGGCCGTAGAGAAGATTTCTAAGCTCTCCAGACTGTTGTGTTTATCTTCCACTCGAGATCCCTCCAAAGGGAGACGATCACGGAGAAGAACAAGCAGCGTTTGCATGCTGGGTAATCAAAACCCACACTGAAGAAACCCGCAGATTGTAATCTTGAAGTTCAACGCTTTGTAGCTACCCTTGTGTCTCTGGACCGGGAATACGACATAGTGGGCGGCACCAGTTTAGCATGGCCAAGGCTGTGAGCTCCATCCCCAGCACACAAGCAAAACCAATCCCCTCCCCCAACATTCTTCTCTGTCCTGGTGAGGTACAAATAGCAGAATTACCAGTATTCTAGCAGAGCAAGGTCACCCTAAGTTAAACTAAGGCCTCACCCGTCTCCAGGCTCAATGGAACCAGGCGAACCAATCAGCTTTCAGCATTATTCCTGTTTGGGGTGGGGGATGCAAGAACTAGGGATGGAATCCAAGGTCTTGGCCATGCTAGGCAAGTGCTCTACCACCAAGCAACATCCCTAGTCATTCAAAAATGCTTCTTTTCTGTGTGTGTGTGTGAGAGAGAGAGTGAGAGAGAGAGAGAGAGAGAGAGAGAGAGAGAGAAGGGGGAATAGGCACTCGTCGTAAATTGCCTAGACTGGTCTTAAACTTGTGATCCTCCTGCCTCAGTTTCCCAAGTAGCTGGGATCACACGTCTATGACATCAGGTCCATTTCCAGCTTTCTTTTTTGTTTCTGCAGTGCTGGGGACCGATGGTAGGCAAGGGCGCTACCACTGAGCTCTACCCTCAGTCCTTGAACTTTCCTAAGTATGGAATTCTTCATGAATTTCCATGTCATCCTTGAGCAGGGGCCATGCTAATCTTCTCCATATCGTTCCAATTTTAGTATTTGCATCTGTGTTCTGCCGGTGCAGGTACCCAGAATAGATGTCACATTATCTTCCTTGATCACTCTCCACTCATATCAAGTCAGGACCCGGGGAGCTAACGGTGGCTTGGCAGTTAAGAGCATTTATTTGTCCTTGCAGAGGACACAGGTGAGATTCCAGCACTCACATAGTGGCTCACAAGTGTCCGTAACTCTCGTCCAAGGGATCCGATGCCCTCTTCCCGCCTATTCAAGCATCAGGTGCAGACCTGGTGCACATGCAGGCAAAACACTCATACACAAAATAAGGAACTTTTAAATAAAAGAAGCCAGGATCTTTTGCTGAACCCAGAGCTCAGCAACTCTGGCTGGTCTATCGAGCCAGCCTGCTCTGAGGTCCGCAGTCCCCGCTTACAGAGAACCTGATTACAAGCAGAAGCCACAGCACTAGCCCTGCTTGTTGTCTGGCTGCTGGGGAGCTGAATTGCAGGCCTACTTGTCTTGCAATAGCTACAGTCATCGCCCTGTCCAAATGTCTCTCTCTGTCTTTGAGACAGACAGGGTCTCACTAAGTAGTTCTGGCTGACTTAGAACTTGCTCTGAATACCAGAATGGCCACAGACTTACAGAGATCATCCAGTTTTTGCCTCCTGAGTGATTAAACTTCTTTTTTTTTAAGAGAGGTATTTCACTATGTTGTTTAGGCCTGGAGCACATAGAGACTCAGGTAAGTGATTTTCCTAGGGTAGCTGGGGAAGGGCAGGTTGTGTTTTCCTGCATCTAACTCAGTATTTCTGAGTTAAAAAAAAAAAAAAAGTCAAACACCAGACTGGGGTGTACATAGTTCAGTGGCAGAGAAACCACCCAGCATGAACAAGGCTGTGGGCTCTACCCCAGAACTGGGGAACAAGGGTTGGTTTAAATGTGAAATGTCTCAAAGTTCAACCTAACACAGTTAAGGAAAAGTCTATGAAGGTGACCTGATCTTGAATCTCAAAATGGGGCTCTGAGGAACCAATACTTAAAAAAAAAAAAAAAAAAAAAAAAAAAAAAAAAATTGAATATTTTATTTATTTTTATTTTATTTGCATTGGTGTTTTGCTGCATGTATGACTGTGTGAGAATGTCAGATCTTGAGTTACAGACAGTTGTGAGCTGCCATGTGGGTGCTGGGATTTGAACCCAGGTCCTCTGGAAGAGCAGTCAGTGCTCTTAACCACTGAGCCATCTCTCCAGCCCCCTATTTTATTATTTTTATGCATGTGGGTGTTTTATATGTATGTGTGTCTGTATGCCATGCACATGCTGTGCCCACAGATGCTGAAGAGGTTGTGGGATCCCATAAAACAAGTTACAGCTGGTTATAAGCTGCCATGTGGTGCTGGGAAATGAACACAAGACCTCTGCCAGGAGCAGCCAGGAGCTTTTAACCACTGAGACATTTCTCCAGCATTCAAACTTAAAAAATTAAAAAAAAAAAAAAAAAAGAAAAGAAAAATTTTAATTATATGCCTGTGTCTTCTGCATGCATATACTCCAAACTAATAGTCCATCACTTCAGCCCAGACTTTTCAACACAACTAGAAGTTAATTGGGCACAGAGATGGCCTGCTTCATTCATTTCCTTACCATTAAAAAAAAAACAACACTAAAAAATATAAGGGGGAGATCATGAATTACATAGGAGGCAGAGGAATGCCATGAGATGTGGATTAAAAAAAAAAAAATCTTGCCGGATGGTGGTGGCGCACGACTTTAATCCCAGCACTTGGGAGGCACAGGCAGGCGGATCTTTGTGAGTTCGAGGCCAGCCTGGTCTACAGAGCGAGATCCAGGGAAGGCGCAAAGCTACACAGAGAAACCCTGACTCGAAGAAAAAAAAAATCTTGCCGGATGGTGGTGGCGCACGCTTCAATTCCAGCATTCGGGAAGCAGAGGCAGGCAGATCTGAGTTCCAGGCCAGCTGTTCTACAGAGTGAATTCCAGGAGAGCCAGGGCTGTTACACAAAGACACTGTGTTGAAAAAACAAAAATCAAGAATCGCCTGTACGGTGTTAGTTACAGCACTTGGGAGGCAGGGGCAGGCAGATAGATCTCTGTGAGTTCAAGTTCTAGTCTAAAAACAAAACAGTAACGAAACTACCGATCGTTAAGTGAGGGGGAATGGGCTCCAAGAGTTGGTTCAGAACGGTTTAATGCAATGAGATTCTGTCCTAGACTGTTCGCTCCATCTGGATTGGCACTAACCCTCCGCAGGGACGGTCCCCTGGGCGCCGAGGGCTAATGTATCGAAAACGCACTGGCTGGGGGCCGCTGATCTACGTTATCAGGAATTTCTGTCCCGACAGTCAAGTGTTTACAAACTCTCACTCAATTTCAACCCCTTATCCCACATAAGACTTGGCAACAACGGACATCACCGGGCAGTTGTGATGCGCAGGAGCGGAAGACGAACCGGGAGCGGCCGGACAGCCCTTCCGCGAGGTCCTGTAACCCGCAGGAAGTGCAACTCTGCGGCGCCAGGTCCCGCCCAGCTACAGCGGCCGGAAACGAACACATGAAAGCCAGTGGGAGGGGCCACGAGCGGACAGTGCTTTTGATTGGCTATTGCGAGGCGGACTCTGACTTCACGCAGACGCTGCGCGCCCTCCTTTCGCTTTTTGGCTCCGGCCCCCTCCCCCCAAGGGCCGGCCTCTTGGTTCCCACTCTGCCTGTACTTGTCTGGCGATCCTCGGCGCCGGGTCTCCCGCAACCCCACGTCGGCACCCCCTCCGCTCCCGCCCCTCACCATTTCCGCACTTTCTCGATGGCCGCCATCACCTTCTTGATGTCATCTTTGGCCCGGCTACGGGTCTCGGCCCGGACCGAACGGCCCGACATGGCGGCGGCGGGGAGTGGCTTGGGCCTGGGACACTGCTCCCAAGACGCGGGATATCACGCGCCTCACGCGCCTCCGTCCACCCGCCGCCGCCGCCGCGGCACGTCACCGCGACCGTCGCCCCCCGCCGAGCGCGCGTGCGCGAGGGACCGCGCGCACCCGCCCGCCCCTTGGGCCCTGGAAGGCTCAGCGCGCTTGCGCACCCCGCCCGGGGCGTCCCTGCTGTGCGCTTCGGGAGACCCACGGGTTCCTCACTGGCAGGCAGAGCCTAATGCAGCCCGCACGTGGTGGGTGCCGGGCGAGGCTGCGATGGTGACGGTGGTGGGATGAGATCTCAAAGTCGCCACTTCCCTCTTCTGCAGCTTCAATGAACTTTTTTTTTGGGGGGGGGGGGGAACAAGGTCTCATTATGCAATTGAACTTGCTACGTAGCCCAGGCCCACCTAGAACTCAAGAGCCACCTGCTTCTGCCTCGGAGTGTTGTTGTGTGCCAGCCACCACACCTGAGAAAAGAAATTTTTTTTAAGTGTGTATATGGTACAGAGGACCAATTTGTGCGAGTCGGTTCTCCCGTGAGTGTCAGGTTGTCAGGCTTTGTTGCCGTTAAACACATTAACCCCATGGTGGTCCCCGGCCCTTCAAGGAATTGTTTATGCTCTCCGTGTTCATGGAAACAAAGACCAGGGTCATCACTGTCCAGAACATCTTTGCTCCGCAGCTAAATAGCTGTGTCCCAGAGTCAATTCCACACCTTTCTTCATCTTGACTTCTATCCTTGTATTCATCGTTGTTACCCATCTGGAATTTTCTTCTCTTTGAACCAACTACTTTTCCAACATCCAGCTCAAATTGCAGCTCTTCCTGAATATTCTTCATGTGATTCATACTTAGTACTCTACTGTTGTGGAATTCATCAATTCTGGATAAAGCATTGCCTATTTCCTGTGCACTGGACCAACTACTGAGGTCCTAAGTGTTCCTCCTTTGGAAGAACTCTAGACCAGGGGTTGTGACCAACTTTTAATCCCAACAATTGGTAGGCAGAGCCAGGTGGATCTCTGTTGAGTTCAAGGACAGCCTGGTCTACAGAGTGAGTTTCAGACCAGCCAAGGCTACAAAAAGAACAAACGTCTGATACAGTAGAAGATGCAGACTAGAAAACAGGTGTGTGAAAGGCGATGCTAACAAAAACACTGAGAAGTATACACAGTGACCTTGCAGCTGACAGTATGTGCCCCGTAGGTCCTTGTTTGAATGAAGACAGAATTTTACCTACAGTTCCAGGGAGGTCAGGAGTTCAAGGTCAGACAGCTACGCTGAAAGTTTGAGGCCAGTTTGGGTTACATGAGACCCTGCCAGAGGAGAGGAGGATGAGAAACGTCCAGATAATGTGTAGGAAACCCTGAACTTGACAAAGCTTCTGATTTAAGACTGTCATCCTTTCAGCTAAGGAACACCATGGCTGGAAAAGTCTATGATGTTTGCTGGTCAGGGGTTCCTGAACAGCTCCTACCTGGTGGGTGGAAGAGCCTGAGTAGCGAGTGCGGGGAAAGGATTACCGTTGAAATAACAGGGTCGAAGGTGACAAATCTGTTCCCCACACCGGGGGCTGCTCCAACATAAGTGGACCCAGGCACTGCCCAAACATTATGCCCTGCACTGCAGGATGCAGGGATGAAGGAGATGCTCTAAGCACCACTGAGATGAGAGTAGGGAACAGGAAAAGAATGCAAGGCAGAGCAGCGGTGTGGTAGGTTTCACCGGTGTTCATGGACACCCACTCCCCTAGAAGAAGTATGAGGCCCACCACCTAGAACAAGGAGGCCCACCACCTGACAGCTATGTCTTAATTCTCTCTCCGCCAGAGTCCAAGCCATTGCCACCAGGAACTCCCTTCCTTCTGCGCTTCACGTTTCTACGCCAATCTTCCTTTTTTAAAACTTTTGTATTTTTGAAATAGGGTCTCTTCGTGTAGCCTGGAACTGTATATTGTGCAACATGAGCTACACACAAGACACTTTCTGAAATAAGCAGGACACAGTGGCCTATACCTCTAATCCCAGCACTCAAGAGATGGAGGCTAGAAGATCGGGAATTCAAGGTCAAGGCCAACCTCAGCTACATTGTGGTTTCAAGACCACTCTGGGCTCCATTAAGACCTAGGTT